AAAAAAAATAAATAAAAAAAATAATTGGCACTGCAATTGTGTCCAAAATGTTCTCTGTTTTCACAGCGCTGAATGCAGGCTGCGGCGTGTTGCATTCGTGGCGTGACTGAACACAGCTCCAGCTCATGCCAGCAGGACTCATTTCAAGCCAAAAACACAGAGTGATTCAACAAATTAAGCCTGTGATCAATTGACATTAAGAGGATCCGGTTTTATTGTATACTCTTGCAGTATTGCCCAGGCTGTTTCTACATTTTCTGCTTTCAGCAACAGACAAGCACAGAACTTCTGCTTTACTAATCAAAGTGTTTGCATGTATGTAGGACATTGCAGAATGTATAAATTTAGCATGTGAGCTTGGTTTTCCACTGAACTAGTTTCATTTTTGCATGTAAGGTGGCATATTAGTTGATAGATGGGATTTCCTGTTATTTACACCCATTCACACAATATGACGTAAAGAGACGCGCCACCATCATGGGAGCTTCCCCTTGGTCTACGAACTGAGTGAAACTACTCGAGGACAGATGTTATGACGCTGTCGTTTGTGGTCGATGTCGCATTTGATGACAGAGATTTAACTGATGAGTCTTTTCTTATTGCGACAGAAGACAAACGGCAATAAAAAAAAAATTCACCTTACTCATATAATCACGCATTTAGGACAGCAAAATAATTCTGGCTTCATGACACCATATCCTCAAACTGACATGAACGTGTTTGTGCTTGCACATGTACACAAGATAAAGTGCTGAAAAATAAAAAAAAGGAGTCCCTGACACCTTATTTGATTAGACAAGATGTTAAGCTAAAATTAGATTAACAATGAACCTTTTTATTGTCTAGACTAGACGTCGCATGCTGAATTAAACATGCACCATAGTGAAGTCATGTGAAAACAATCTAGCATCCTGCTGTTTGAAAGGTTTTATATACCACATCTCATATTATTTAACAAACAAACAAACAACAACAAAACACCCATAAACAACATGTTTAGTAAGATTTGTCTGATTCTTGCGAACAGTATCGTTCCCCAAAAGGGTCTGATAGAGGTTTTGTGTAGACCCATGCAAACTCACAAGGCTTTTAATAGTGTAAGTAGGGCTGGGTGATTAAATGATAACAATAATTAATCGTTTTATAATTTTCCTCTATAAAATGATAACAAGAGTTTGATAAATGTTTGATATAATGTTTATGTGCCAAAAGTGGAAGGAAACAGCGCTACTCATTTGAAGCGCACCACACGGAGCATTTATCCGCTCGGCTCAAAGTTCAAATGCCAGCGCAGCACAAGCTCACTACAGCAGATGTGTTACTCGCTGATCATATGACCACTAAACATTGCCATGAGATCCAGTGTGAAGCACTTGAATTCAGCGAAGAACACAAATGACTCACTGATTTAAACTAGTTTAAAGCCAGATGAAACAGTGCTGACAAACAGGAGAACTTTTCAATCTACAAATCACCATCATTGAATATTATTATATTATTAATGTAGACATGTATTAAATGTACTAAAGGAGTAACAGAATATAATGTGCATTTCTAAGAGACATATATATATATATATATATAATATTATATAAATATAATATTGCAGCCTGCACTGGAAACTGTGCTGAAGATACGCATCAAATTCAGCCAACACAATCCCGTTTCATGATGTGAAACAGTCTCCCTCATTAGAAAATGCAGAAACTAAGACAATAATTTTTCTATTAAGATATTTATTTTGTTAAGGAAAAATGACTGGAAAAGTGTAAAGAATTCAAAAAACGTGAAGCGTTTGTCATGTTCTGACCTTAAAGTGTAGTTTAACACCACAGTTAATGGTCTGGTTTCTACAACTTTCACTTAGGAACAAAAATCTGCCTTTAAACTTGAAAGAAATAAAGATCTGGAATGTATAGTGATAATTATCGATATCGACTGATACAAAAAATGTTATTGTGACAATTTTTTTGCCCATATTGCCCAGCCGTAAGTATGAGTCTTCATTTTGTATTCAAAGGACAGTTAAATAATTTGCGAGCAAACACCCACACGTGCAAAACACAGCGAGACTCGCAGGTCTGTCTGAATGCAGTCACAAACAGCTCGGGACAGAACATTAGACACGCAGGAACCAGGGAATGAATATGCAGTCGCATTCATGTAAAGCTACAGATGATTGATTCAAAAAATTATTCTAGATCAACAATGTGGTTACACTGTCAACAAACTACACACAGCTCCATGAAAAGCAAGAGAAGTCACGCTGTTTCTAAACTATACCAGACACAAATATCATATGCCGTTATGCAAACATCTAAACTAAGCTCATGCTTTTACTCAAAAGAACAGCTATAACATTTCACAATGTACTCCTTTCAGCTCACTGTATGATTGCAAAGCATTAAAAAGGTATGATTGAGATACAAACATGGAGTCTAAAGCCGTTCACACTTCACACCATTGGTGACTTTGAAGCTACAAGTTGCATGTTGTCAGCCTAGTTCTGGTTGACAATGTTCAGCTGACAATGAATCAGTTTTTATGCCACAAAAAATGTAATAGGGAAAAATATTGTACATAAATTGCACCACTGCATAATGCATCATATAGGCTAAATTTTCAATTGAGCAACTGTGAATTAACTGGTCTCAATGCCTGCAATGCTGCCCAAGTCCTGAGACAGTAACACTGGCCTAAACAAACTCTTCTATCACATTTTACTATTGGGATTTTTGTGCAGCCAAGCAGTGTTTGATTAACAAAGAAATGTTGCCTTTTCTATCTAAAGAACATCATTCTCAGCAGAGCTGTGAAACATGCAGGTGGTCTCAAATAAATGGACATGCAGTAATGCTACTTATTTATAGAGAAAAGTGGTTTTCTCTGTAGTAACCTCCCCGAGAATCACTCTTACTAAGTGTTTTAATGATAGATAAAATCTATAGCCCAGTTGCAGACATTTCCACCAAAGAAAGGCGGTTCTGGACCAGTCAAACTGGCTCTGCTCTAGCCTTTAAACCTGCTTATCTACAACCAGCTAATGGCTTTGGCTGGCGAGCTCAGATAATGTCCTTTATGCAAAGTTTTCAGAAAAACAACTCAGTCAGGTTAGAGTGATGCAAAGCAAAACTAATGATTTGTTGTTCTCATTAAAATAATAAAAAAAAAGAAAAAAAGAAAAAGTTGTCTACACTGGAAGTGCCTGATGTACTGTAATGTCACAAGCATTCAAGTTGACGGACATTCTTTGCTTATTTTTATCCTACTGCAAAACAACCAGCAACTTTATTTTCCTTGTAGAACTGAATTATTTTATTTACAAATATCACATGTGAATTAATTACTGGTCTGAGATCTGACAGGTGACTATGGCAATGGTGAACAATCAGTGATGACAGATTTGCTTTTTATAGACACTGAAACTCGAATGACTTTCAGACGCAAACCACATCTTCCTGCTTCTGCCAATGACAGTTTCGAACTGACTAACACTTACTTATTTGGCGTAATTTATACACCTGAGTCTCAGTCCAACACACACTGAGGAGAAAGCTGAAATCTCTCAACTGTGAAGAGTACAAACTGTTAAACTTCTGTGTAAAATACAACTACGACTAAAATAATCATTAACAAAATCATCTATCAAATTAACTGAAGGTACAATGGAAAACTTCACTCTTTCAAAAGGTATTTTACAAGACATTTGGTAAGATTACAATAATATGTTAGGAACCACATACATTTAAAAATAAATGTCAAATGTGTCTTTACGACATTAAAAATATTTCTTTATTACATACATGGAGGGCCTAAAATTAGCCCTCAACATAGGGCTGGACAATAATTCAATATCAATATGTATCGCGATATAATTTTTTTCAATAACGGTGATATGATTTTTAAACACATTTCCGATATTTCGATATACATTACCAGTTTCCCATACATTGATTTAAAGGCATTTATAATAAGATTTCTATTTCAGATAAATAGTGTTCATATCGATATCGGAATTATATCGTATCGACCGAAATTAAGAAATATATCGTGATATCAATTTTGGCCATATCGTCCAGCCCTACCTCAACATGTGACAAAAGTGAGTTTGAGTAAACAAAACGTGTTACTTGCCAGTTGGCCAGTGGTTTTATTAGGGGCTACAACATAATGTGTGGTTTAAAACGCTATGTGAAAATAATGGTCAGCAGATAGTTGAGCAAAACCACTAAAAAGCATTTTTATTATGTGTAATAAAATAAACATAACTGAACTGAAATAAAAAATAAATATATTTTATTTCAGCTAATTGCCAAGGAAACATTTCTAATTTTCATTTATTTCAACCTGAAGTACTAACTACAATTAAAAAATTAAAAACTATATAGACATTAGGGCTGCACAATTAATCAAAGCGTGATTACAATTACGGATGCCACAATTACGTAATCATTCAAAGGCACAATTACATTAAAAAGTCCACTTGCATTATTCAGCATGCTTAATGCATTTGTTTGTTTTTTCTCTTTCTGCAGGTTATCTTAAGGGTTTTTCCCATTGTTTTAATTTTAGTTTTAGGAAAACTTTATAAAATCATGCACATTTTGCCTTTTATTTTTATTTAAAGAAGAAACCAAACCAATATATTGTTGACATTTGAGTGTTTTCAGCTTGTTGATTTTCATATAAAAATATGGCATGCAGTTGCTTCAAACAATGGTATAAAGCTACTCAAAACATCATTATATATAAATTGATAATTGTAATAATTGCAATTACAATTTTAAGGGAATAATTGACAATTATGATTTTTGTCATAATAAAATAGTTACATTTTACAAATACACAGCCTATTCAATAAAATGCTAATTGTATTATACATATGTACATTAATCAATTCACTGCCATTGGCAGATGAGGCAAAAATAATTCTGTACCCTGCATTTTTGAGATTTGCTCATTAATGCTTTGTATCTGAAGCAGAGTAATCCCTCTCACGCTTCAGTCGTGTGTTCAGATAAGCTTTTCACTGCTCTCATTAAATATGATACACAATCTCTGTTTACTCTGTTGTAAGTCAAGGTGGAAAAAGCATTAGCTGCTATCTGAGGATTACTAATGTTATCCATGCTGTTGCAGAACTGGGTGAGCAACAGTACACTGAATAAGTTTGGTTTAGAAACAGTTTTCACTCAGAAGTTGCTAGTAAATTAATTATGAAGAAATGGTAAGAAACACAGGTTTATATGAATGTATCTCTGAGGGGAACTGACAGTCTTCAGGAAAGTTTAGATCAGTGGTTCTCAACTCTGGCCCTCGAGGTCCACTTTCCTGCAGAGTTTAGCTCCAACCCTAATCAAACACACCTGAACAAGCTAATCAACGTCTTCAGATTTGCTAGAAAGTTACAGGCCGGTGAATTTGATCAAGGTTGGAGCTAAACTCTGCAGGAGTCTGCAGGAGAAAGCGGATCTCGAGGGCCAGAGTTGAGAACCTCTGGTTTAGATGGTATTTTCTTTTCATCTTACCTCCGTATAATGCATATTAAAGTACTGTTAAGCGCAGCGCTGCTTTGTTTAAAGCGGTAACAAAGGAAACGCTGTATCGCTGCTGCTCCGTAAGCGCCACCTGCTGTCAGAGAGTGAATCTGCGTCTCATTCAGCCCGTCTGCTGTTTCTGTTTCGTGCAGATGTTTTATGTAGCATAATTTCACAAAGCTAAAGTCACACTAGGGCTGCACGATAAATCGAAATGGAATCGAGATCGCGATTCGACAGAAGCTGTGATTGTCATGCGTATCTTTCAGTGAAGCACGGTTCTGTGATCAGCAGTAAATCTCCATCCAAAGGCCAGAGGGCGCTCTCGCGCTGAAACTCCAAATACGCCTCGCAGAAGAAACCCAGAAAATGCCTATCGCTGCAGCTGAATAAACAGAAGATTCAACAGCTTTCATTAATTCAACGTGACTAATAAACACACGACTACGGCAATATACGGTTTATC